GATGTAGCCACGCGTGAACCGTCCAGCCACACCGGGAGCCTGGAAGTACGGTGCGCCGACAGCGAACTTGTGGATGACGGGTTCCAGGTCGCGTCCCGTGTCATCCTTGCGCTGCTCGTGGACCTCGAGCTTCCACCACGGCCGACGTAACTTGAGCGTATGTCTGAACAATTCACGCACGTAGTCGTGCGGATCATCCGTATTGACGTTTCTGGCCCGTTCCTTCATCTCCTTGTAGAGCGGGTCCGTCGATAGGATTCGCGTGGCGGTAGGGTCATGTCCACGGTCGACAGCCGACAGACGCGAGTACCCGTACAGAAAATTGACCAGGGGGCTGTTCTTGGTCTTGTACTCGAACTTATGGGTCGCAAACACCCCCGAGTGGTCGAACCGCGCGATACGGGCGTAATCGCCGAGGAAGATCACCATGAAGAAGAACATCCGCTGCTGACGTTGGAAGACGAGCTCGGCGTACGACAGGATCTGGCCGAGCACATCCTTGCGCTTCTCCCCGACCGGCTCGCCGCCCCGCTCCTCATCGAAGGGATCCTGTTCCGTGCTGCTTGTCTTGCACTCCATCGGCAGCTCCAGGTAAGACCAATCCACGCCCGGGTAGGTCGCATTAATCTCAGCCTCTGGCACGTTGTCGGCTGGAGACATGCCCATGTCGACGGATTGTTTCGTGTGCTCGGTCTTGTCAGGCTTGTGGGGATGCGCGATGATCTTGAAGCGGGGGCAGATGTGGGCATTGTTCAGCGCCTTGGGCTGTAACCACCACATCAGCGACACGGCTCTGAATCGACGACGAACAATGAAAACGGTACTCACCAGCGACTTGTACATATCTGTCTCTGAGGAAGGTGTTTCCAAGCCATGGAATCTGTTGGATTTCGACCTGGATTTCTGCATCGATGGGAGGAAGCGGGTGAAGAAGTCGGCGTGTGGGATGAGGGTAATCTTGCCGTGCATGTTGGAACGAAGTTCGCCGCGGCCGCGCTCCAGGTCTTCCTTAATATTCGCGTCGCTACCTTTGAGTCTGAACAATCTACTTGGGGAATCGAAGGTCTTCGTATCCTCGGAGAATCGGACCTGGGAAGGCATCGTGGTTAGGATGGTCGAGGCAGGGAGGAGGCGGTCACGGGGAATGAGGAGTTCGGTTATGTGTGTATAACGTCAAGTACGTGGTCAGGGATGTACAGGACGAGTATATGAGCGGATGGGAGGCGGTGGTTGGGAGATTGAACTGGGAGAAAGGACGACATACCGGTTCGACCTTTAAGATCAATCACGGAGCACGAAGCAGTAGGTAAGACTTGGTAAAGCGCAACGGCTAGTATGTCCGAATGAGGAAGCTGGCCGATGCACAATGGGGGGCACAGTGGTGGATGAGGAAAGCAAGTTGGAAATGATAGGCGCTGGATGGGGGCTCCGCCTCGTGGGCGGCAAAGTGGACAACGGCTTCCTTTGTTGGCGGCTCAACACCCAATCACCTCCCCCAAGCAATTGCAACACGTTATGTATGTCCTCCCTGTGGTATATCTGAAAGCAAGAAGCACGTCCGGTCATTGGATTGCCGTCGAGGAATCTGAGCAATCGCTGGAACGTGGCTGTGCTGTGGGAAAGCGCGATCCTAGTGGCATTCCAAATTGAGCAGCCGCGAGGGCGAGGTCTTCATGACTCGAGGAGTAACATTGCGGCTACAATGCTTCATCCGCTGAAAACCTGCGTACAACAGTTCCCTTGGTCGCCTATCACTATTAGGTACCTCCAGAGGGCCGCCTCGTCTAGATCAGCAGGCTTGAGACGTGACTGGCAAAATTGTGCATCCAAGTCTGTTCCGAAGTTAGTCTGAGCCCATATACAACAATCTGTCAAGCTGACATGGAGAGCGCGGACGCACGCCTTGGAGACATCCGGTGGCTCTGCTCCAAGGCTGCATCGCTACATCGGCCTCTTGCGCTGCGAGGCTGCAGAGATCCACTTCTATTGAGGCCTCAATAATGATAACAGAATCGATCCTGATCGTATGACATTTCAGTCGTCATCATATCTTGACGGAGGCTCTTTTGGCAGAAACCATGCGCAGCTTCAACAAACGCCGGGTGGCAAAACTAACGTGACCGACTTCTGAGTCACGCTCTTCGGCTACGGGCGCTTGACAATCTCAACTTGCTTTCGTTCCACAACCGCAGCCACTTGCATTGTCCCCAGCTGGGTTTTGGTTTCTATCAGACCAGCGCGCATTCCGTGGACCGGTCACGGACGTCACTGCTATAGCTCGTTCTTATATAAAACCCTTGCCGGTATGGTCCTATACCCCCCTGTAACATATCCCAAACACTCACCATGTCTCATTCAGCCTCTGCCGCCCTTACTTCTGACTCTCCGGTGCAGGCTTCGCTGACTAAGGGGCCCTACAGTAACCACAAGCTCTCTCGTAAGGAGAACCAGACCGAATTACGCCACGACATGCACGGCCGAACCACCATTCTCGACGCCGACAAGTTCCTCCAGCACTTCGTCCCGCAACCAACCACCGGACCCGGTGTTGCTCCTCTCAAGAAGCCCGCCTCTTTATTCAAGCGAATGAAGAAGCCGAAGAATGAGTCAGTGCTGTACAAAGAGCTGGTGCGTCTCCCTCAGCCTATTCGTCGCCTAACCACGGGCCCCTCACGTTTGTTGTAGCCTAAGCGCCTGAAGAGAGGTTTCCCCGGAACCATGTACGGCTTTGTGGCCACTCCATACAAGGCTGACAGAAACACAACGTCACTCCTCTCTCCGGATTGCGGCATGTATCCACGACCCCACGTCCCTCGCAGGCACAAGGGCCAACGCCGCGATACCTTTCTAGCCACGAACTGGGCACACATCGAGTTGCCCATCGAATGCAAGTCGAACGGCTCTGGAGACCCTTTCGACGATAAGCAGCCAAATGGCGAGCCGAAGACCGCGAAGCGCAGGGACGCCCTCGGCCAAATCTTGTCTTACGCCGAGCTTGTTCTCGAGTATCAGCAGCGCACTCACCTCTTCATGCTCGTCTTCTTCGGAAAGTACTATCGCATCGTCCGATTCGATCGCTCTGGCATCTTCGCGACGCAGAAGATGGACTACTTACTCAACGATCGACTGCTTATCGAGTTCATCTGGCGCTACGTCCAACTCTCTCCTGAGGATCGCGGGTACGATACGACCGTTCTCCGTATCGACCAAAACAGCGAACTTGCGGGGAAAATGCGTCAGCGTCGGGACGACCTTGAGAAGGCCCAACCGGATCATTACCTCACGGCCCTCTGGACGGAGGCGCTTGATTCTCGTCGACCGTGGTGGAAAGTCAAGGTCGAAGACGACATCACCAAGAAGGATCTTTGGTATGTCGTTGGAAAGCCCAACTTCCAAGCACCTGGAGTTCGGGGTCGCGGGACGCGTGGCTACGTGGCTCTCCCTTTGAAGATCGGGGAGGACGGAGAACAGCTCGGCGAGAAGTTCGTCTACCTCAAGGACGCGTGGCGTGTCGTGGCTGAGGGTATCATGCCCGAAGGTACAACCTTGAAGACGCTCAACGATTACAAAGACGTACCATTTATCCCTACGCTTCTCTCTCATGGCGACGTCACTGGGCAGTCGACACGGTCTCCGGTGGTCTGGGAGTTGCTTCACCCTGGGAAGACGTGTCCACTGAAGCAGCATCAACACTACCGTAGCGTCGTTGCCGAGGTCGGCAAGCCACTTTCATCCTTCAAGGATAGCTATCAGCTTGTGAAGGCGGTGTATCACTGTGCCCTCGGTATGTTCTCATCTCTTTCGCTTCATTCTCCGCCCGCAGTGGCTGATCGCCTTACTGTAGCACACAGAGCGGCTTACAAGCATGGATATATTCATAGAGATATCAGCGCAGGAAATATCCTGCTGTATCCGAATAAGAACGGTCACTGGTGCGGGCTTCTCAACGACTGGGAGCTCGCCAAAGATCGCAACCGGGAACTCATTCCACGACAACTCGAACGGACGGTACGTTTTTCAGGCTTGTGTCCATTGATTTGGCGTAACTTGCTGAAATGCATCACAGGGGACTTGGCAATTTCTTTCCGTCAATATACTCGACGATCCTGGCAGCGTTGTCGTCATCGCTGACGAGCTGGAATCGATGTTTCACGTCGTCATCTACTATGCTGTCCGCTTCCTCCACCATAACATCACCGCAAACAACGTGGGACAGTTCCTCCATGACTATTTCGACGACTATGCGCCTCATCATGGCGGTAAGCGCTGTGGTCCTAGCAAGCGTCTTGCCATGTGGATGGGCAGGATCAGCCTCGTCAACTATCATGGTCGATACGGGACCGGCGGGACCAAGCTGCGCTTCCTCCGGCCACCAGAGGATCGCGCCCCTGCTGGAGAGGCAAGCCAACATCCCCTCAACGATATCGTGTCGACGCTCTTGTCTTGGTTCAAAGCCCACTACGATCACGATCTTGACGAAGAGGAGACGGACGAGCGCGCACCGCCTGCTGAGGACCAGCCATCTAGCCCGGATAGCCTCTGCCGGACCCTCGATGATGAGTTCCTCGACGCAATGGCGTCGGGCGAGTCTGATGAGGAGAACGCTGGTGCTGCTGCGCCTAGTGCCAAACCTATCGATACCGATAGCTTCCGCCAGGCGGAAAAGCTCCGTGAGGAAAAGGAGCGACAGCTAGCTCTCAATCTGGAGAATCACGACGCCTTCATCGAAATCTTACGCCAAGCCCTACAGCACGCCAAGGCATGGCCTACGAGTGAGAAGACCAAGGATCAGCGGAACAGGGACTTCGTCCCTAAGCTGGAACCCAACTCCGACGATGGAGAGGAAGAGGAGGCTCCAGACGAAGACGAGGATGGTGCAGATAATGACACCAACGATGATGAAAAGGGTGAACGATACCAACCAGAGAACACAGACGACGAGATCGACCCAGAAGACACCGCGAACGACTACGACCTTGTAGTTGAAGTCGAGGACGACGAAGACAAGGGCCACATGGAGGGCGGAGTGGAGGGTCAGGAGGTAGGCGGCTGCAATGACGATTCCAGCGCATCTATGCACGACAGCGAAGGATTCCCCAATGGAGGCACTCGGGACGGCATGCACGTCGACGATCCTGCTCCCCGTTCTTCCGTCAGAAGGAGTGAGCGTGTGCGTATGAAGCGCAAGGCGGACGAACCCGAGGACGCGGGCAGCGGAAAACGCAGCAGGCAGGGTTGACTATTGCAATCCGCATAGCATCTAAATAATCACCCGGCTTTACTCTTTCTGCTCCTATATATATGCTATGACCGTACCTCGATCAAAACTCGTCGATGCATTACTTGGTATACGTTAGCTTTTATCATGTAACACTTGTGCATTCTATCCTGCTAGCATTGTACAATACGGTCCGGGTCCTACGGAAATTCAGTGTACTCGTGCAATGTCGCAGAGTGGTGAGATTCCAGTCGTGCAGAGCTCGCTCCTAGATACCGCGTGGGAACGGAGGTTTGATGCCTTTGAGGACCGATCCCTCTTGAATATGCAAACCTTGTTGTGGCTCTACGCAAAGCGATAGGCTCGCCGACATGGTTGTAAAGAGCAGTGGCAGTTGGGGACGGTGCTGTACTCACAGTGGCATGTCCGAGTCAGAGACACATGGCGGGCCTGGAGACAGGCGAGGCAGATTCATTGCGGGCATTCAAGCTTGTACAGTTCAGTCTGTGGTGAATACACTGAGATGATTAGAGTTCACAAATCCGAAGTTGTGCGGAGGCACACGACGGACTCAGAACATAACTTGAACTTGTCTCACCGGGGCGCGGGCGCCTATGACACTCGCTCCGTTCAATATACAATACTCGCTGAGTCACAAAGCTGCATTCTGCATGTCCTGAGTCATACGCGCTTTTGGCTTGCTCGCACCGTTCTCTAGCTTCTCCGCCTCCGCTCGCTCACTCAGTTGACTGGAGTACCACCGAAGGTCTCAGCGAGCTCTATGGATCGCACGTATCTGTACCGAACAACGTCCTCCTAACGGCATCAGGCGATACCTTGGGAGATCCGGGACGAATAGAGTGGAAAGACACTATCCCGGGAAAGCATGACACGAAGGGAAGGATATAGGGGTATGTACTATCTCGTGTAACCTCCTGCGGCTTTGGGACACCCCGCCATCACACTCGCTGCATCGGTACCAAATGGCTGAGTGCTTCACTCCATCACCTTCCTTCCCTGCCAGAAACACTACAACTCGCAGCGCTCGGCATGTCGTGACTGCCAAGTTGAATCTGGTACGTAGCTTGAAGTCTACTGGGTCACTGCGGAGTCCCCGTTTGCGCCAAGGCGCGCACCCGAGGATTCCTTGACCGTCCTTTCGATCAATGTCATATCGGAGAGACAGATGGAGTGTAGGTCGATTCAGAAAGACATGCCATTCGTTCCTGCCGAGTGGATCTATGATCGTTATATTTGACATGACCACGTTTGCAAGAGCGTAATAGCTCCCCATCGGCAATCGTCACACATTCGACCGGACGCTCTGCACGTCCACGCCCGCGATGCTCTTTTTGTCTACGTCCGCGGCCTCCTTGCACTCTTCCACCTCGTGCACGTATCCGATGGCACCCACGCCTTCGAGAACGGAGCCGGAGACGTCCACCTCCTCGAACGTCCCGCATTCGCTTAGTCCCCTGATGGGGAACAGCAGGTTGAGCAACCAATAGATGATCGCGGAGACCCCGAAGCCGGTGAAGAATGAGAGCTCGTAGATGCGCGTCGCTGCGAGGGGCACGTGGTGCCCTGCCGCGCCTGCAAAGCCCACGACGTTGATCAGGATGCCGGCGATGTATGCGGCGTAGGCACTGGAGTTTGTGCGGAATGATTGTCAGTCGCTGTGTGGAAAACGTGCTAGAGGACAGAGACACACCGGAAATTGATTCCGAGCGTGTACCAGTACCAGCCTTCTTTGCGTGTGTGGTAGAGATCAGTGATATTGTAGTGCCCCTTGTGGATCACGTAGTAGTCGATGACCATAACTCCTGCTATGGAGCTGAGGAAGACAGAGTAGGCGGAGAGGTACGAGGTGAACTGATTGCTGCTCTTGAGCAGGTTCCAAGGGAGCATGACCAGGCCCACGATTGCGGCGATGTATCCTCCCCGGCGGATGTTCTGCAGAGGCGTGTTAGGCCCTTGGACGAACGGGAGGTGGATCGACGCTTACTATAAATCGGGGTAGAAGAGCAGTGAGATCACAGCCGGCGCTGATCGAATTGGCCGAGATGTTCGTTCCGAGCTACCACAGGAGTCGCAGCGCGCCGTCAGCTCAGGTCACACGATGGTTTACAAGTTGCTGCATACCTGCGCGATGATGAACGACGCAGCAATGAACCATACCCCAAACCTGGTCGCACGGCTTGGGTTTCCATCAAGGAACTTCCCAAGCAGGTCGATGGGAGACCAGATCACCTCGCCATAGATCGCCTGTGAAGACGAGCTGACGATGATTCCGAAGAAGCTGACGATTGCGAAACTCAGTGGGACGGTGATAAGCTGTGGCCAAAGAGCAGCGGAAGGGTGACGAGCGCGGGAAGCGAAGTCGGGCGCGTTCCTGTACACCGACCTGAGTCGCAACGCACGGCACAGCGGCTGGAAGAAGACGTACGTGACGAGAGTGGCCATGTTACTAAAGCAGGACATGCTACTCGAGACCATGCCCCACCCGAGAGCAGAGCCGTGCAATGTTGCAGGTTGACGAATGATCGGTCCAACACCATGGGCCTTTACGATACACCAGATGAAGAATGTGATACCCGCTACGGGAACCACGACTGCCTTCAGCGTAAAGAGGTGCCGGCTAGGGGTATGAGGTCGATGAGTATGATATGTGAGGCGGTAAGAGCATACAAGGCGTACACCTGGTGAATGGGGAACCAGATGGCCGGGAGCGATATGAACCAGAACAGGAAGAAGCACATGAAGTCTCTTGTAGTTGTCCCCGAAGACACAGGCAAATGGTTCCCTGGCAGAGGGGATCAACTCAACTGCAAGGATTCAGAACTCGCCTACTTACGAATGTTGTTCACAGATGGCCACATTGCCCGTAGCATGACAAGGACACAAGACCCCCCGATGCTAGCCTGCACACCGTACCAGATGCTTGGGCAGAAGATACGTGTGAGCTATAGTACCGGCGATTCAATATAGTTACTCACCATGCCATGGCGCCTCGGTTGAACACACACCACAGGCTTCCCCATACTCCAAAGCTTGTCCGCGCGACTACTGGGAACGTGACATGGAAGATTGCTCCCGGTCTCGCATTCGCGACAATGAATGGAGCGACGAGCCCATAACCCAGCCAGACGCATATCCAGGCTTGCCACCAGGCAAGGCCAAGCTGGATCATGGAAGAGGAGATCATCCATCTAAATCCGAGTGCTGTAAGCCTCAATACTGCAGAAGCAGGAGGTAGGCAAGACGTACGTATTGATGTTGAAACCATTTGCAACCCAGCTGTGGAGAATTCATTAGACGACCAATGGACAGACAGAAGATGACGGACAATGAAATGAAATTCCAGACGCCCCATGGGCGTTTCTCCTTAGGAACAGGGAGAAGGTCTTCGTTCTATCGCAGATGAATAATCAGTGTGCCAGCTGGGAAGAAGTGAAGAGCGTTCATACCTGCAATGTTAGCTCTGATTGCGCAAAGTTCTCCGGACGGTTGACTTGTAGTCTCTTGACAATCCCCATGGTTGTCTGTAGGACCAGAGAGAGCAGAAGAAGAGGGAGGAATACCGAAACGCGTACGGGCAGCGAACGAGTCGCTAGCGGCTACCCCGCATCCACCTATCAACTTATATAGCCGTGCGGTTGATAACATTGAGCCCCGTAGGCCCCACGGGTGTCCGTTGGGCTTCTGCATGCTGTCATTGGAGCCTTCATGCGCTTCTCAGACTGATAAGGCGCGCTGATATGGAGGCGAAAGCTCAACATGCGCTGTAGCTGGCAGGTCATGGTACCAGCCATTGTGCGTCCGCAACTTCCTAAATGTTAGAGTTAAAGTTATAGTACCAAGAAGCTAATGTAGCCCGTAGCTCGCTTAGGAGTCGGCCGATCGGCGAGGTCACTGGCCCTTTGGGGGACGTCGTTGTCTGCTGCCTTGTTCGACGTTCCTCCAATGAGACGAGATACCGGGGGGCGCTACCGCGCCCCAAGATTTACACGCCCCGAGGTCACGCTTTGCCGAAACCTCCGCTTACTAGGGTACATTCACTGCGTGTTCATTCGCACTCGCATCCAATTTGTGACTGACCCAAACGGCCTGTGACTAGGAATAACACTGCCACCGTGCGAAAACCCTCGCAATCAGTTGACCGAGCCGCCATAGAAGGCTGTGAAAGTCAAGCTCATTCGAGCGATCCAAAGAAAGGTATTGAATGAGGAGCAGACTTACCATACTTCGCAACATATTTGACAGAGATGTCGGTATCGTTGCCGGAGGTGCACTTATAAGGCATCAGTTAGTACGCTGCATCATTTCAGGCAGGCAAAAATGTGCTCGGACTTACCGAGGTAGGAGGCTGGCCGCCGACAGTGTCGTAGCGGAAGATCTCGTTAGCGAGGTCGCCTTGGACGTTCACGACGTGCAACCAAGCGACATCGTCCGTGGGGTCGGTAGGCGATGGGATCGAGCCGTTGACCGCCCCCAAGACGTACGCGTTCCGGTTGCCCGCGAAGCGCGGGTTCGAGCGGAAATCCCATACGGGGCTCAGGCCCGAGCCGGTGACGGGGTTAGGCTGGAAGAAGTGCTGGCCGAGAATTATGGGGGTGTTAAGCTGGTGGAAGGTGTCGATGACCGTCTGGATGGACACCGGGACGAGCTGCGTCCAGACGGTGTAGAGGTCGTTCTGAATCGTCGAGAACTCGGAGGTGGAGGCGATGCAGGACACGTCAATTATCTCTGCGACGGCGCCGATGCTCCTAGATTGCGAGACGGATATGTATTGGTATGATTGTCGTTGAACAATGACTGCAGGAAGACATGACGCACGTGTAAGTGTCCGCGTTGGAGCAGGTGTAGTTCTGCACGCCAAACGCGAGGCCCAGAAAGTTGGGCTCTCCGGAGGGTGCGACGAGCGTGGTTTGATTTGAAGGGAACGACGGGACGTAGTTGTTGATCGGGCAGTTGTAGCCTGAGGCAAGATAGCCAGCAGTGGCAGTAGCAACCAGATCCCTAATAGCTACCATGTTGGAGGATCGCGGTAAGAGTAGCGGATGGGTCCGACAAAGCGAGGAAAAGAATGAGGGGAGGAGGAAAAGAATGAGGGGAGAAGGAAGAAGAGCTGGAACTCTGAGGAAACGCTGTTCGTGCTGGATGCTTTTATACCTCACCAAACCCCTCAAGGAGGATGCGATGTTGGTCAAATATCCTAGCGCTCAGATATTGCATCTTGAATTGATTTGGCTACGTACCATGCGCGGAGCGACGAATTTGTTGGACTTTGCATGCAAGCCGCATGCGGTTAGCTCACCTATCATAGGCTCTCATGTGCTCAGCGGGGCGTCAAGTTACCGCTTTGTTGTGCAACTAGTCGAGCGTCGAGAACGACAGCGTCACCAAGCTCCAGAACCTGGTGGCGAGAGTGTGCTTGAAGCGCCTCGCGTAGCGCTGCCGAGGTGCGGTGCCGACGACTCGTGGGAGAGCAGAAATGACACAGTGTCCGGGTAGAGGAGCTCGTGAGTAGTCAGGAGTAGATATCTGAGACTAGAGTGTATCGTCTTTGAAAGGACCCGAACAAGAGGTTGGTTTGCGCATAAATCAGTTCGTCGAGAAGCTCCCAACTCAGCGTGTCAAGAGTCTAATGAGTTCTGTAGCTGCTTGTGTGACAGATATCGACATCCTACCTTATCTTCTGCAGCCTAAGGGTGCTATAGTTTATAAGCTGTGAAAGCCATCTCCACCTCCTACAAGGCGAGCGAGCGCAAGATGGGCGGGCGCTTTCGGTCGCCCCTTTGCGCGGCAGTAACTTGCTGGGCAATTTTCGATGTTAAGCTGAGCTAGGCATACCTTCCTAGCGACGATTTAGAGAAATACACGGAGCCTCTCCCGGCGACATTCACCAGATCGCTTAGCCTTACATACACAGGAGTGCTTCCTAATCCATTTACGGCAGACTTGTGAGGTGGAGACGATGATGACTATGGGTGATGGTCGGCGGATTTTACATCGGACTCAGCCGAAGTCTCTTGATGACGACTCACCAGCGGTCTCAACTTTCACTGCCTGGAAAATTGGTTCATGGTCAGGGAAGGTTCAATCCAGTTATGGCTCTTCATCACACTACATAGTGAAGCCAGCCGACGTCAACGTATCCTGTGATGTTCGACAGATTGACGACAGATCAATGCACCCCAGAACAGTCAAAGGGTCGCTCACCTAGAGCTATAGCGTCTGTCGTGGTGTCATGAGAGCCTCGGCATTTGAATGGAATCCTGCAGACGCGTCTCCCGGCCTCCGTTGAGATCCTAGCCGGTGGTCAGCTGAGAAGACTTGGGCGTTCTCAGCTGTCAGCAGATGAAAAAAGCATGGCTTGATAAAGACTACCTACAAACTTGTCGAGGCTGCTGGACTCCCGGAAGAGAATTCCCTGTGCGCGAGCTAGTACTGTACATGTGTGACACTGAAGCTTCAAAGCTTCAAATTCAGCATGGCGCCCATATGGCCATGGGCCGCCGGTTCGTAGAGGAGGCAGGACCCCAAACACTATCAGGCGCTGATCACCACTTGCTTGTCACCATTGTTTGATTTCGGGGTCCTATCATCTATGCAGCCTGTCTCCTGCCTTCAGACCCAATGGCAATTGAATACTCGACTTGATATGCTCAGCTCTATGTACTCGATAGGTTGTTGCTCCGGCGCACTCTCTTGTATGGCGGTCGTTAGCAGGACTGGTCAAGCAAGACATCGGTTTTCACTCAATCCGGAACGCCCTTCGAATGTCTTGCTCCTGATGTCGCATCCTAACGATGAATGCACCTTCTTCGCGTCCTCAAGGATTATGCCCCAGGAGTCATTACCGCGCTAGCTACCCACTCTGGATCTGCTGTATGTGGTACGGTACTCTAGGATTTGACGAATGGAGATGAGTCATTGCGAGCTTCAAGGCATCTACATTCCCTTGCGGAGCGCACAGATGTCCCAGGACGTAGGCCATCATCAAACGTTCTCTGTGATCGCCCTTCGGTACTAACAAAGCATCGCTCGGTCTCATCTGCGACATTCGATGAGCCCGTACCTTTCAACGTCATCTCTCGTAACACTCTCACGTTCGGCTCCCGGATTTTGAGCGTTGCTTCCGGCACTTCGACCACTGAGCTCGGCCGCTGACCATCCTCCGATCCATAGCATATCTGAATAGTTTCACGGCAGATCGGGACGCCCGAGTCATCGCCGAAAACCATACAGCCTTACGTCCTGGAGCACGAGATAGACTCCGTGTGTGCCCGATGTCGTGGGGACATGGTGTGCTCCCCTGATATGGATGGCTCAAACTTTTCATCTGTCTTGTTGCAGCTGTTGACATTTGACATGATCTCCGCTGTTGACATCTGACATAATCTCCGCTGCTCAGTAAAGCGCCCATCTCACTCCATGTCCACTGACTGTTGTGAGGTTGGGGACGATTTCGTTGCTCGCATCACAGATAGGCGTATAGCTATTTTTGGGTGGAGACTGATCTATTCCCTCTAACCCTGTTCTTCGTCTTCGTCCTCCCGCGCTTGCGACCCCTGCCGACTCCCGGTCCAGCCTCCCGCCCTCAGCCTCCTTGCCCTCTCAACCCGCTTCTCAATGAGCGATATCGCCGTCTCGACTGCCAACGTCGTCCCCACAATCTTTAGCACACGTTCGGCGTCGTCTCCCTTCTTCTGAGTCGGCTGGCTCGCGAGATTGATCTTCGCGCGCGCCGTCCGCCTGATCCAGGCGAGGTTCGATCTGTTTCGGCCCAGCACATACCCCACCATGTCCTCGGGGATGGACATCTTGCGGGTTTCGAGCACTGGTGGCGCTGATGTTTGTGTCTTCTCCGATGACAGGGGTTGAGGGCTTGAACTCGGACCCTCTTTCTTCGGCGTGGCAACTGATGTGTTGGAGGGCTGTTGCCCGTTCTCGGCCTTCCTCCCAGCGGACGGATTGGATTCAAGATCGGGAGTAGTAGATTTGGGCTCAGTCGGGGGTTGCGCGTTGTCGTCGTCGATCCTCGCCCCGGGCCCAGGCTGGAAGACCACTGTCTCGTCGTCGTCGTCGTCACCACCACCCTGACGGTCAATAGCTGCCAAGAGGCTCTTCCCGATCTGTCCTACGGCCTGGCCGATTGCCTCAGCAGTTCCTTGCAGATCGACGAAGCGCTCCGTGGACTGGGGGAAGATCTGCTTGTACACAAAAAGGCGCGCTGCAGAGGCCTCCTCATTGGCGCGGATCTTCTTGCCGTAGTTGCCGATGATGCTGCTGACGTGCTTGTACGAGATGAGGAGGCGGACAGTGGCGATAGCGGGAGAGGACGTTTCGGATCGTGCTTCAGGGGAAACGAGGTGGGATGCAACCAGGAAGAAGACCTGCCCATTGAGCTTGTAAGAAGACATACCAAGAGTACATGAGGACAGCAGGAGACGGGAGACACATACATTGGCTACGCCTTCTACGGCACCGGTTGCGGTCAGGACTCGTTTCTCGGTCCCAGAGCTGGCTTCGCTTATGTCCACTCCTGTATCGTCCTCGAACTTGAGAGTGCCCTCGCGAGCACCGCTAGTGAGGATGTTGGCCTCTTTCGTACTGATCAGCGCTCGGAGGCAGAGGACCCCGCCTTCGCCCACAGAGCTGGGAGTGCGGAACTCGGAGAGAGGCTCTACAGATAAAGTTGTTAGACGAGAGAGAGGTTGACGGAAAGGTGATTAGACAGGACAGCGCACCTGTGTTTTGGTCAGAAGGCGCGGCGGAGGACATTTTGAGCGGCCAAGGGTTACTTCGCAAGCACTGAAGCTCGTACAGAAACAGAGGACAGCAAAGAAAGGGTTTATATAGTTGTACGGAGGGCGGGGGTTCCCACCCTGCGGACGTTCGATGAATGTGAATAGCGAAGATAGCACCTACCACAGGCCGCAGTTCTACGCTTTTGCGCTGCAGCCTCAGACTGGCCCGTCGCTGCGGCGGCCGGTAGTGACTACTGCCGCATGCATTGGGACAACGGAATGGCAACGAGACCGCTAGCTCGCGGTGAGCTGATGTACATGGAAGTCAAAGCATCCACAGTACAAACCGTGCGCTCACGGCCCTGGTGACCTAACCAAAGTCGTGATATTGATGCAAAGGCAAGGGAGACATGACCCAGTCCGACTCCGCGGCCGCAGCGCAAGGTCGGCATCGGCGCTGAACCGGGTCCTTTGATTTCAGTAGATCTGCGAGCCTAGGTCCGGTGACGTGTCTCCCTGACTAAACCTCGCACAACTTGCATCAAGGCACCCCAGAGCATAGTTCGTGCGATGCTTTTCGTTGGAAAGGAGCTGATTCGATGGCCGAGGTGTTTCTGCGATGCCAGGACAATCCGACGAACGTTTTGAGCAGCCAGACGCGCGCACTATCGCCAGTGTTCTCTGCTCTTGTGACCTCCATGAGCTTGAGTTAAGAGATATAACATGTTTGAGAGTAGGTAGATCAACCTTGACTGGAGTCCCCGGTGTGAATCATCGGGGTGTTGGCTTTGCCGCCCGAATGAGCGTCTCCCATCGGAAGTTTCCGTTAGCGTAAAAAACTTTGCGCGTCGCTCTGACTCACGCACCATGCGTTTGTAACGAGATACCCCCGTCGTCGCCTCCCTTCTGAAGACAAACGCGCCCGACGCTCTCGCTTGCCGTCCGCCATCTTACAGAGATCTATAGTCATACTGGCACGGACGCGTCCTGAAAACTCCAGCGACGGATTCAGGTTACGCATATTGTTCAGACCGTTTCCGGAGTCCTTGGAATGCAAGCACCTCTCTACACCAAGCACAACGACTTCGCAGAAGTGCCGATCACCTCTGCACCGAGATTACCGTAATGCCAACCTGACTGACACTTTGCATCACCCCGGGACACCTATTCATTTCTAGGCAGACGTCTATATCGCGGATCCACACATCGTCAAGGTCGATTTGTTTAGCTCCTATTGCGGGCGCGCTTCCCAATCCGTTCAGGACATACGAGCTGCTCAATGCGTTCTGCGTAGCGATCACCGTAATTGAGGGAGACGAATGATTCCAAAGCAGCTTTCTCGAAGGTTTGTTTGAGTCTCACAGTAGCATCTACTGAGCTCGCTCCGTGTGCGAATGCAAAGATCAACCCATCTGAGATTAGGATAGACCCTTAGATCCTCCAGGATGCCCTTCAAAACGAATGGGGAGACAAAGAGTTATCAGTGTTGTGAACATCATTGATCTCACCGTTCCCGCTCGTGATCCCTGCGCGTTTGGTTCGTTCCACCAGCTCAACCTCACGAGTTGCTGTAGATCATGCTTCTCAGGTCCAGGGTGGCAGGTTTTGGTCGTCACATTGTCTGGAATGAAGATAGGATCCTCATCTATAGGGCACAGTATGCCATTCAAGACATGTGTGTCCCGTCGACGCGGACGAAGGTCGTCTTCCCTAACTGGATGCTAGGCATAAGGCACCTCTACTATGCGCGCAAACCGGGATCTTGAGGTGCGGCCACGTTCTCTCTACCCTCATGGACCCTGCTAGTTCTAACATATTCACCGGGAATGTATGGCCGAGAAGGTCGAGGCCCGATATTCTACGGAGTCAAAAGAGGAGAAGTACAACTTTGTTGAACAGCTTGCTAGACCCGGATCGTAGGCGCTAGTAGACGTTTACAGACTAAATAGTCCTCGACTCTACCGTTCATTTACAGCTGACAAGATAGTGGACTTCCGCCGCCGCGACCATCTTGTATCTCGCGCACCTGCTCCGCCTCGCCCACATATACTTTACTTCTCAGGTCTCACATCCACATCGCTTCTACTGCTTCTCGGAAGATCGCTAGAATTTCATCCTCCGATTTCCTCTCCCGGCTGCCCCCCGAAATGGCTGGCTACGCCCCGGTTCCCATAGTTGACTAGCGTGCGGCGTGGCACTAGGGTGACCCAAAGTTGAACGCCTACCCGACGCGTCTCCCGTCCCGGGCTTGAACAGTATGGTGCCTTTCCCGAACCCCGAGTCCTTCGGCACGCTCATTACGATCTGCTCTACTGCCTTTCCGATAGCCTCAGGGGATCCATGCACTGCTACAAGACATTCGGTGGAGCGCAGGAGCATCTTCCCGGTTACTCCAAGGCTTGCACCGGTGGAGTCTTGTATGGCCTTGATCTTCTTGCCGTCTCTACCGACCACGTCTGGCAGGATGCGGTGTGGCATGAGAATGCGGAGTTTGGTAGGAGGATGGGGGGAGAGGGGCGACTCAGACGAGGAATCAGTGGGTTCAACCCTTAGGCTGGCAAGGTGGTACGCGACCAGGGAGAATGCCTTCCCGTGCGGTCCATCACACGCATGAGCTGCAATCCTCCAGCCGAAACGCACAGCGCTCTGCGCACCTTCACTACGCCCTCCACGGTGCCCGTCACGGCTAGGATCTGATCTTTCACACCTCGAACGGCCTCACTAACACCGGCGTAGACCCCTGTCTCTTCCTGGACCCGATGAATGTTTGCATGACGGTCGCCGATGATGATCTCGGCCTCCGTATTACTGACGAGAGCGCGGACCGTGAGATTTTCACGGCCTACTCCGTAGTCGGGGGAGCGTGATTGAGAAGCAAATCCTTTAGCGAACTTTGGTTAGACTGGGGGACCGTGGTGCTAGTAGTGTGAAGACAACCTACTAGCTTTGGAGGACATGACAGAGGGATGCGCACGGATGGGGAAGTTGAGGAAAGACGCAGATATGTATATCGGCGGTGGGAACTCCGCAGACCTGCAGCTCACCTCAGAGTGCTGCAACTAAAGTCTGGTGAACAGCCTCAAATACAATTTGTGTTGCTGCGGCAGCTCTTGCAAGTACGGTGATCTGTACGCCTCAGAGGCACTGAGTGGTGAGCTTCTTGTTACCCAGTCGACAAGTTGAGATATACATATTCATGAGTACATTCGGGACTGCGCTCCTAGAGGCCACGACAAGCAACGATTGTTCAACAAGTCATTGATCCATATTGACACTCATGATGCAGCAGCGGAGAATACAGTATCATCGGCTTGCTGTAGCATCTGACCGTTCTTATGCGCCCGAACTCGTCAATCTCCTTTTGAATTCTGCGCCCCTAACAGGCGCGGCCAGTCCCCCTCGCTATTTCTGCCTGGCCTCTCCTCTCTCAAGCCACTCGTGTCAATGGAAGTTTTTGCCTCAGACACTTGTCGGATATCGCTGATCGTAGTCCTGAGCCAGTCCATGATACACCTAGTCGTGTCTGATGGAATGGAGAGTTGCTCGGTTCGGAGGGCTGTCGTCAACGGAGGAGACTGGGGTGGGCGAGGGCCCTGCGTAGATGAAGCGCTGGACTCCCGTGCGGCGCGCTCCGCCTCTTCGCTCTCGCGCTTGCTGGATTCGCGGAGCTGCTCACGTCGGCGCCGCTCAAGCAGGTATTCGCGAGTTTGGCGCCTGGACTTCTCAGCCCCGCGCTCGCGTTCGCCGTGCCTCTGAGTTTTCCTACCAGGGGGCAGTGGGGCCAGCGGACTCCGATCACGACCTCGACGCTTGTCGACTTCCTCAACTTTCGATCGACGTTGACGTTTATCGGTACCGCTGTTACTCGGAGGCTTGTCCGGTGCACCTCCCGCATCGGGTTGGTCGAGCACTGTGCGCTCACCCTGCTCGTCTCGAAGGAGACATTCGCAAATCCGCTCAGTCGCGCGTCCTATCGTGTCCGGAGAGCCATTCACCTCCAGCAAGCGCTCTAGAGACTGCGGTAATGTCTCCTTGCGTATGGAAAGCTGCGCACCCGAGGACTCCTGGATGACTGGGATGTTGACACTATCCCCCCCAGTGACGCTGTATAGGAGGGTGTGAGGGACGAGGACGCGTAGTGCGATGGACGAAGGCGAAGAGGAACAGGATCTCCAGAGTCTGGCGTGGATGAGTTGAAATGCAACCAAAGAGTATGCCTACCATGTTGTACACGTGAGTTTCTCTGTAGTCGGTGAGGACGTATCACATTGGGCACCTTCACAACTCCCTTCACAGAGCCGCATACGGACACGATCCGGTCTGCAGCACCGGGTACGGCCTCACTGAACGTTATGTAGGCCCCAGTCTCTTCCTGAAGCTGTGGGATGTTCTCATGACCGTCGCCGGCGATGATCCTTGCTTCTGTGGTGGCCACTAGTGCGCGAACGGTGAATACTTGACTATCCGTTTCGAGTGTGCTGGAAGAGTGGCAGCCTGGTGGTGGTGTACCTACAGATTTCAGTTGTAAGGAAGGATCTACTAGGCGCCAGAGCGGACTGAGAGAACGTACCAGCAGAGGACATGAAGAAGATGAGGTGTTCATACAAGAGGAAGCATTCCTCCTCAAACGCATCAGCTGTTCCGAAGATCGTAAGCACGGGCTCATCTACTAGCGCTCCCGGTGGCCAATTCGACTCGATGGTGATATTGGCGCCCGACAGCCTTTGGAACTCAGTGATATTGCTTCTCTCTGCGCCGTTGATGTACCCCTCGATATTCCACGGGATGGAGAGCTGCTCCATCTGGGTGAATCAGTGGATAGGTAGTGGAGCCGGTGTTGGCGACGATGGCAAGTGTGAAGACGACGTGAGCCTATGTCCAGTACGCTTTGGCTACCACAGCCAAGTAAGCCTACCTGCGTCTCGAGAAATGATGTCTGATCCTCCTCAGCAGACTCGGGCGTTGGTGACGGCGGCGCAGAGTACGCAGCGCCATGCTTGGCCTTCTCGCGCTCACGCTTGGCAGCTTCGCGCCTCAGCTTGTCGCGCTGATACTCCCGAGCCTGGAGAATAGCCTTCTCAAGCCCTCGTCCGCGCGCGTCGCGCCTAGGCTTCCACCCGGGTGGTGGCGGAGGCAACGGACTGGAGTGACGTTGCCGGCCCTTCCTCTTCCCCTTGCTCTTCTTTCGAGAACGACCTTGCCGGCTGTCTGAGATACTGGCGTCTTGCGAGGTCTCTAAGGCGCCTAGGGCTCCATGCTAGTAGAGCACCGTGCCCTGCAGGGTGAGGTTTTGGTTGTGGGCCCCGGACTCCCTTGCAGAATCAGAGTATGGATAGAAGCCTACAAACGACCTTGATTATTGGGGACACCAAAAGAAGAGAAAGCGAAGGGAGGAAGCGCACCAGCATGAGAGGACATGACGAGGACTCATGAGGCCACGCAGAGGTAAGGGAGTACGAAGAGGCGATATCTAAGTAAAACAGTAAAGTCGAGTTTGCGTGTATTCCCTGCCTTTTAGTGGTTGAGGCTACCATCGCAAGGCTGAGATATTCGGCCCGGTGAGAGGATGCTGCGGTAGCTTCGAAGCTACCGCAGCATGCACGACCATGTCACGGGGCGGTTGACGGTCTTGACTACTATCATAGGATATGAAACGTGATCAGTCCACAGGTGCCCATCGAGCCTCCCTATAACCTGTCTCTACCTGCATGCAGCGGAAGCTGCTGTGGGAGGTGTTGGGAATATGGAAGCTACGTACTATCGCTGATCATGCGGGCGAAAGAGTTACATGAGCATACTTGACGCGAATTGGAAGGTACAGGCGCTTCACTTCCTAAATCAAGACGCCGTGAGAATATGCACCCAGTGCTGACGCTCGGCTCCGATCGGCCTACCGTGCGTTCGCTCCCTCAACACAACAATATCGGTAAGTTTTCTGGGCCATCTCAAGCATGGCCTCCAGTACACAACTTGGACTAGCGAGCAACATACTAATAGTGTAAGTTACGTAACAGTCCACAGCAGGATCTGGGACAAGCCGAAGTCGCTCGGGCACTCTCGGGAGTCTCAGACGCTCCGCTTTCAGCCGGCACAGCACCTCAGCTTCAAGGTCAGCTTTGTAGAGTCCAAGGTCATGAGTTTCGAGCGCTATTGCCTTTATTGGCTCAGGTAACCTGTGTCAACAGGACATGTAGCAGTGACGACGAACGATGAGGCTGCGTCGAGGTATCGGTCAGGTGTCCACGTGGTGGACGTCATGGGAATATCCACGATTGAACAGTGGAGATAACTTGTGCCACAACCACTTTCACTTAGGCTAGCCTATCGCTCAAGATGCCTTGTTCACCGGAGATATTGCCGCGTATTCGACTCTACGTACGAAAACTATTCAGAAGGTATATTGCATGCTCCGCGTCGATCGCTGAGTCCGAATCGCTGGACCATCAGGCCTTAACGGGGTCACCGACCCGTCCACCTGAGCCGAATGAAGGAAAACAGTATTGTCAAATAGATACGTAGGTGGCTGCTACTACTCAAGTGGGTGTGAGGATCTAATCTTTACGCCAGTCCCTCGACATCCCTTGTATGCGACTTCTGTTGGGAAGGACTGTTCGCGCAGGGTCCTTTCCAAGGAGCCTGGACTTTACAGAAGACTCCGCACCCAGGCTTTTCACAGAAGACCACTTGGGAACAAGTAGAGGTGTCCTCTCATCGCGGTTGTCAATGGTGTACTCTCGTTCTGGCCACAAGGACGCCGGAAGCCGCGCATCAGGAGACTGTGCGCGTCACGATCCGCTTTCGGGTCAGTTCTACCAACAACGGAGAAACACCCGAAGGAATTCAGATGATGGTACTCGTTATCGATGGCAAACCTCACTCTTCCTACTACATCTATACTTCGCGGGGTATGTTGACTGCATACCAATCTCTATCGGCTCTCTAACGACACTTGTCTCTACAGATAACCCTGCAGCACCATTCATCGTCGCTAGGGATCGGTTGCTCCAACTGAACTCTTCCTATGCTATAGCCATGGCGCAGGAGAGTCTCATGAACTGCATACGCAATCATCAACAGTGCTCCACTGCCCATGTCAGCATCCTTCCAACCCGAGTCATCGACTGTCTGGACCCCCGTAATCTGAAGCTTTACGTCTCAAACGGCGAACAGGCGCCGTATGTTGCCCTCAGCTACGTGTGGGGCGAGCCCCAGTCCCATCGAACGACTACGGAAAACGTTGACGCCTACCTTCGCCGTATCGACTCCTCGTTGCTCCCGCAGACAATTAAGGACGCGATCGAGTGCACCCACGCATTCGGCCACCGCTACCTCTGGATCGACTCCCTATGCATTCTACAGGATTCCGAGGAAGACAAGGCCCGCGAGATCTCGCAGATGTGCAGTATCTACAGACACGCATATTTCACCATCATCGCCGCCAGCGCGCCCAAGGTCGGCGCGGGCTTCCTACAGGAGCGTCCTCCACCATCCTCAGATGAAGTCACGTTGCCGTTTCGCTGTCCCGACGGCAGTGTAGGGACGATGTCGCTGTCGCCCGTCTGGCGCCAGTACGATGGATCCACCGAACCTGTGAACCAACGCGCGTGGTGTCTCCAAGAGCGCCTCCTGTCCCCTCGCGCCCTGGTGTACGCCTCGCACACGCTGCAGTTCCACTGCCAGACGTCCATCGTGAACGTGGGGAATGCGGTGTGCGGGCCCATGCTGGGGCAGCGGCTTCCTGAAATGCTATTCCGTCCCGACTCCAGAATTCCCTCTCCCCTGTCGTCAAGGGATCTGAAGATGCTCCGCTGGGCGTGGATAGAGACGGTCGGGGACTACTCCCAGCGCGCAATTACTGAGCCAGGAGACAAGCTGGTCGCGTTTGCGGCCGTTCCAGAGCTGTTCGCGCGGGCATGGAAGTCAGAGTACCTCGCGGGGCTCTGGCGTCGCTCGCTCACCCAGGATTTGTTGTGGCATACGAACTTCGAGACGCGCTTCGCGAGGCCCTCAAAGTACAGGGCGCCGTCGTGGTCGTGGGCCGCCGTCGATGGTCACATCTTGGCGAGCTCTATGGACGACCGGCTGGATCCGCAGTCTGGCGAGACTCGGGGCTGTGATATTCTCGGCTGTGACGTTCTTCTCGCAACTCCCCTGCTGCCTTACGGAAAAGTGTCGTCTGGAATGCTGAGTGTTCGCGTCGCGATGGTGAAGGCGACTTGGAATCCGGAGTCTTCGATGCCTGATCTCTATCTACCAATTGACCTCGCGCCTGAAGCACCGCAAGACGTGCTCTTCCCCCATGTATCACCTGTGGCTCAGGCGGAGCGAATGCATATCGGCTGTGCCTATCCGGATGCCGTGGAGGATGTCCTGGAGATCTGGGCCGTACCCGTTTTGTGGAATGAGCTGCGGCAATACGCCGCAGGGCTCATCGTCACACGTGCGGGTGAGGGAGATCAGTATCGCCGGGTTGGATACTTCCACTCACCAGAGGACAGCCCCGCAGGTTTGTCCTGGATGCTCAGTCAGGACAGGAGAGAGATTGTAGTCGTCTGAATCCATAGCCAGTGACGTCCATCTTTATGTAGTTGATGATTGCCTCTTTCCGATCTCCACATGGTACGATATGGTGGAGACTCGGACCACAGCTGTGCATGTCTTATGTCCGCTGAGCACGATGACTGGCATTATGCCGCAACTTGAATAACCCCTAGCAGCTAGTCAGTATATAACTTAATACGTATCAGGCCCTCAGAAGGCCTGAATCTTGGAAAACTTGATCTCAAGTGCAGTATGCATCGTGAGGGCGGTCCCGTATAACCCTCCCAGCCCTGCGCACAGGACGGCGACCTGACGGGCTACCTGTGAGACACTTGAGATTCCCAACAGGAACCCAAGCACCTATGTACTAGCCAGTCACTCGCAGAAGAAAGCATGAATTCAATCAATGTCGAGAAGATGATGCCGATGGGTGACGCGCTGGTTGTTCTCGCAGGGACTTGAGAATAGGATGGCGCTTGGCTACTGACAGGGTGGAAGTCCGATCGAAGCGACTTTTGCCTGTTTTGCGGTTTCAAACAATTTGGCATCGAGAACCTCGACACAGATATCTGCGCACCGCTTCAGGACACAGTTTCCGCTCATATCACTGGATAGACATGATATTAGCCGCCGTACGTCGGGACACAGCTACCCACGGCACACGCAGCGACTTACCGCTTTGAACGTCCTCTTTCTCTTCCTCTTCCTCTTCCTCTTCCTCTTCCTGCTCTTCCTGCTCCTCCTGTGACCCCTGGCTCTCACGCCCGCCCCGCGCCCGCCTCCTCCTCTCCCTCTCGAGCCGCTTCTCAACGAGCGCCACTGCGGTCTCAACAGCTCCCGCCGTCCCCACGACCTTCAGCACACTCCCGGCCCTTCCCCCCTCCCCTTCCCCCTGCTTCCGAGTGCGAGCCGGCGCCCTCGCGAGATGGATCTTCGCGTGCGCCGTTCGCTTGATCCACGCGAGGTTCGTTCCGTTCCGGCCCACCACGTAGCCCACCACGTCCGCGGGGATCTCGATTCTGCGGGTCTCGCGCGCCGCGGGCTCTGGGGTTTGTGTCTGCGTCTGCGATGTCGACGATGATGGCCGCGCTGGCCCGGGCGCGCACTCGTCCTCGTGCTTGCCATTGCCCCCGCCCTTGTCCTTGTCCTTGTCCTTGTCCTTGTCCTTGTCCTTGTCCTTGTCCTTGTCCTTGTCCTTGTCCTTGTCCTTGTCCTTGTCCTTGTCCTTGTCCTTGTCCTTGTCCTTGTCCTCGCCCCTGCCCTCGCTTTCTCTCTGTTTCGGCGTAGTGTTTGAAGCGCGTTCCCGCCGCCTCCCGTTCCGCGCCCTCTTCCCAGCAGGCGGTTCGGCGTGGGGTTCCTGCTCATGACCGGGCTCTGGCGCAGGCTCATGCTCGGGCTCTGGTACAGACTCGGTCATAGGCTCACGCTCGGGCACAGGCTCTCCCCGCGCGTCGTCGTCATCATCTATCCTCGCCGCAGGCCCCGGCTCGAACAGCACCGTCTCCTCGCGCGCTGCAGCCTCCCTCAAGCACCCCGCGACGCGCGCCACGGCCTCCCCGACCGCCCCCGCCTCCCCGCACACGTCGACGCGGCGCTCGGTCGAGCGAGGGAGGATGCGCTTGTGCGCAACGATGCGGGCCCCGGACGCGGCCTCGATTGCGCGGATGATCGTCCCGTGCTTCCCGATGAGCGTCCCGAGGTGCCTGTGCGGGGCGAGGAGGCGGAGCGTCAGGGGGGCAGGGCGAGGACTGGACGTGGAGGACGTGGATGAAGGGGGAGGGGAGGCGCGTACGGCGGGGGAGACGAGGCGGGCCGCGATCCGCGCGTAGACCTGTGCGTCGTAGAGCGCGTGAGCGTGCAGAGACACATCGCGAGCACTCCGTGGAGATAGGCTGCATGAGACGAAGCGACGTACGCACCTTGGCTACGCCCGCGACGGTGCCCGTGGCGGTGAGGACCTGGTCGGCGGCGCCCGGGGTGGCTTCGCTGATGTGCACCTCGGTGTCCTCCTCGAGCTCGAGCGTGCCCTCGCTCGCCTCGCGCGTGAGCGTGTCCGCGTCCTTGGTGCTGATCAGCGCGCGGAGGCTGAGGATCCCGCCGTCGTCGCCCGCGGCGCTGGGGGGGCGCGGCTCGGAGATGGACTCTGTGGACTCTGGAGGATGTGTGGTCAGGACGGTTAGATGGACGGCCCATCATTGAGAAGCAGGCGCACCAGTGTTGGGAGCGGGAGCGTCGTGCGCCATTGTGATGAGCGTAGACTCGGAGAGCGAGAGAGGGAATGGCGGGGTCTGGACTGGAAGCACATGGGGAGACCGAGGGAGCTCGAGAAGGCTTATAGCGCCGAAGGGCAGAACGCGGCTACCGTCCTGCAGACGTTCAATGGAAGGAGAAGACAGGCCGCAGCTTTACGGTCCGTGCTGCAGCCTGGAGCCTGGATCGCTGCTGCGGTAGTCTATTCACGACCCGACCGTCGCGATGCGATTGTGGATCGGATGAGCGGGTGGGACGACGACCTATGCGTGCACTGTGCAACAGTACATCCTCTTCCTCGGCCATACCATGTCAGAGTTGCGGAAACTCGTACTAGGCAGGGGGAGGGTAGTATGTAACATACTCGGTCAATGAAGATTGACTGTGGTCTAGTCGAGTCAAAATTAGCGCTTCAAAATCACGCGTGAGTACTTGAGTCGGGGGCGAAAGCTGGGGGATGACATTGGAATAGCTTGAAGAACTGCGCAGGACGAGGCATCCGCCTCGCGTCGCTACCACTCTCTCGCGCGACCGGGAGGGGCCGAGCTCAAGCCGGCGGAAGCGAATGTACAACACGAGACGTGGCTATCGAGATGTATAGTGGAGTATAGTATGAGAATGTAGGTATAGGGATAGCGGAAGGGTGGGCATGAAAAAACAGGAGCAACAATGCTCGCAGTCCGGGGACCCACAGCATGCCGGTGAGGAAGGAGGCAAGGAATCAGCATCGAGAGGAGCCCGTAGATGTAAGCTTAAAGCTAGAACGAGACAAAGAGACAAAGCGCGACAAACCGCCAAGGATGCGTTACGCGAGAAAGCACTTTGCGCGTACAGTGCTTCAAGTTTGCAAAAAAGATTGCAGACCGAGGCGCGCAAAATTCTGTTTGGCCCTGTTTTGTCCCCCGTCGGCTACGGCGAGGATTCCTGTTTCGGACACCGGGGCGCTCACAAGGACTCTGTTCGACAAGACGGTGCCGCTTGAGTCTGAGCCCACTCTTCTGCTGCAAGAATGCACAATGATGTCCTTTGCCTCCAAATTCAACTTTCTGAGTATGTTTGGTAGGTTTGCAGCTGAAACATCGACATGCATGCTGCAAAGAGGCTTCTGGCATCGCAGGCGTTTCCCCGGGTGGCCAAGCAGGGCCAGACCGGATTTTGCGCGCTCCGGTCTGCAATCAATCTTTTTTGCAAAGCACTGTAAAAGTACTTTGCGCGTGAAAGCACTTTGCGCATGATGACAGTCGAGCGCCCGCGACTTAGTTGAAGGCGAGGGCGCGCGTCTCAGACCAAGCCTATCTTCTCACCCTGCACATGGCAACGAACCATCTTCAGAACACTCCACGGCAGAGAGCACGACAGAGAGAGAAGACAGAGAGAGAAGACAGGCGCCGGGTCGATAGAAGCGGCCAGCCCAAGAATGCACTATCAATGACTTGCTCGAAAAGATGTTAACGTTGGCTAGCTTGGAGGAGACCGGTCAGTTCAAACACTCGGTGATGAGAAGGTGTTAACGTTTACTCACATGGGACTCGCCAGAGAACTTTCTCCGGCCGGCTGTCACTACAGGACACGAGATCTTCTTCTATTGCTGTGGCTGGCCGGATGAGGTGTCAACCTCGCCTATGCAATCATGTTCATCGCCGACATCTCGGCCTCTCACAGCGTCTTCGTGCCCTAGGCACATGAGACCGACTTCAGGCTCAGGAGCACAGTCTGACAAACATCGTTGTGAGTAGTTCACTGTATGCCTGCGAAGGAGAACTTTGTGCAGCACGCGCACGGATTCTCACGCTGACATGCATGCGAACCTGCGCGGTCGCGCAAAGCACGCGGATTGCCCTTCTCCAACGGTGCTGCCTGATAGAGTTTCGATGCGGGACAGTGCCGGAAATGCACTGGCAATGGTACTGTCGCCGGGGGCCGACGACGCTGCACCCTTGGCTATTAAGCCCGGGCCCTGACCGCAAGTTTATGCGCGCTCTCCTTGTTCGTTGCCATATCCGTCGCCTGTCGCCGCTGAGCTTGCCCCATCTCTCACCTCGCTCGTCGCCTCCCAATCTGCATCGTAGCGTCCCAGAGTCCGTAGACAGCCCCCACCATGCTCGGCATCGACAACAGCCAGGCGCTGCTCCTGCTCACCATCCTCCTTCTCTCCTGGCTCGTCCAAAAGGTCGTCGCGTTCCAGCGCGTCGCCCGCTCTGTGGAGTGTGTACATCCCGTCTCGCGATTCACGACCGTTTTCCCGCACAGTGAACCTGCCAGCTGACTTCCCTCTCCGTCCGCCGAACAAACCGCTTTTGCACACATATACACATCTCCGTCACATGCACATCGCAGCAACTGGCCAGGCTTCCGCACCGTGTTCAGCGACAGGACCGTCCTCTTCCCCTTCAGCGTCCGCGGGCTATCGCCCGGTCCTGCGTGGACGATCAACTCCAAGTACGCCGAGTTCGCCCGCCACGGATGGGACGTCATCACAGGGGTGCGTCGTCTTATCCATATCCACATTCACAGCCATCTTGCGTGCGTGAAGAAGACGACACTCTCGGGACCAAACATGCTTTGAAGAGTGCCCGAGTCGATGGTTTCGACCGCGGCGCGGCGACGATCCAAGATGTCGTGCGGACCTGCCTACTAACGCGCGCGTGCGACCGGTCTTTGAGATGCTCGGTTGCGCGCTCGAGCCCTCGACTCACAAACGCTACATGTCTTCTCTCTGTTTGCATTTGCCGTTCGCGACCGCGGCGTCGGCTCTACTCGAGCCCCATCCTGCGATCCACCATACTCACTCGACGCCCTGTTCCGCTCGCACAGATCAGCATTTACCCGACACCGCAGCTCTATATCGCCGACCCTACGCTCACCAAGGTACGTCTTCTCCCTGTACCATGCTACCCACCATGCTACCCAGCAAGAGAGAGGCTGGGTCAGGGGAAGGCGCGCCGGTCACAAAACTGACACGCAGCACACCTCGCCCCGAACAGGAGATTATGGGTGCGCGCGCGCGCTTCCCGAAACCGACGTCGTCGTACGCTCTGCTCGCGACGTTCGGCACGAACATCCTCGTCACCGAGGGCGACGAGTGGAAGCGGCAGCGGAAGATCGCCGCGCCCGCCTTCTCCGAGGTGCGTCGTCGTCTCCCTCTCTGTGCTCCCTCCCAGGGTTGGTCCGGGCTGACGATAGCTGGTCGCGCCCCGATGGCACGGGGGAGCAGAAGAACAACAGGCTCGTCTGGGACGAGACTGCCAAGGTGCTCGATGACGTGTTCCAGAACGTGTGGGGCGACAGGGACGTCGTCGAGCTCGACAACATCATGGACCTCACCGTGCCCGTGAGTTCCGTCCAGAAGGCATATGTAGTATCTCTGCCCGAGCTACGGAGCTCACTCGTGTTCGCGTCCAGGTCACGCTCCTGGTCATCGGGGTCGCAGGCTTCGGGCGCCGCATGTCGTGGAGCGAGGATCAAGTCGCGCCCTCCGGGCATTCGATGACTTTCAAGGTCTGTCCATGTCTGTCCACCTGTGTCTGTCCCTCCCTTGGACCCCGCGGGACACGAACTTAGGTACCGGCGCGGACACGAGGCTGACGTCGCCCGCGCAGGACGCGATGTACGAAGTCTCGCACCACCTCGTCCTGAAGGTCCTGTTTCCGGACTGGCTCCTCCGCTGGGGAACTCCCGCTATGCGGCACTTCGCGACCGCGCACGACGAGCTCATGGTACGTCGTTCCGTACACATGCGCGCAGTCGAGTCGGCATCGGCTCACTTCAAGTTGCTCGGCCGCTTTTCGCTTTGGGGGGCAATAACAACACCTTCAGGCGTACTTGCACGAGATGGTGGTCGCGCGGCGAGCCGCGGAGGTAAAGGACGAGCGTTTCGACCTGATGAGTAACCTGCTTGACGCGAACGAGGACGAGACGGACAGCGCCGCGAAGCTGTCTGACAGCGCGCTGATCGGTACGGCGCCGCTCGTCTTCACGCATATGTGCATGTTGACATTAACACTCCCTTTCATGTGCAGGGAACGTCTTCCTCTTCTTGGTGGCTGGGTACGAGGTACGACGGCGCGGACGCGTGCGCAAGTCAGAGGTGGAGAGCTCATGTGTGTACCGTGCCACCAGACTACGGCGCACACCCTCGCCTTCGCGTTCACCCTGCTGGCGCTCCACCAGGACGAGCAGGAGGCGTTCTACCAGAACCTCAAGTCCGTCCTCCCGACGGACCGGGAGCCGGTACGTCTCTCTCGTCCTTGTCTCAGCGCCGCAGTAGCTATAGGCTCGCTCCGTCTCACCATCTATCCCGTTTTCAGACATACGAAGACTTCAGCTCGCTCTCGTACTCCCTCGCGTGCGTTTCCCCTATCCCGCTGTTCCCCCTACTACCTACTACCTCCTAACGCAAAGTCTCCCCCTCGCACAGCGTGATGAACGAGACCCTCCGGCTCTTCCCCCCCGTGCTCGCCATCCCCAAAGAGTCCGCCGAAGACACCGCCTTCACGCTCACCTCGCACACCGGCGAGACGCGCACGCTCCCCGTCCCCGCGCAGACGTACATCGCGCTCTGCGTCGCGTCCATGCACCGCAACCCGCGCTTCTGGCCCGAGCCCGATGCGTTCCGCCCCGCGCGCTTCCTCGGGGCGTACAACCGCGACGCCTTCCAGCCGTTCAGCGGCGGGCCAAGGGGGTGCATCGGGAGGGGCTTCGGGGAGACGGAGGGCGTGGCGGTGCTGACTAAGATCGTGGCACGGTATAAGGTCGAGGTGAGGGAGGAGCCGGGGTGGGAGGGGGAGACGTTCGAGCGGAGGAAGGAGAGATTGTTGAGGTGCGGGCATAGCTTGACGATCTTGTGAGTCGCGTTCTCTTTCTTCAATTCTCGCGCTCTCCTTGAGTCCGATGGGTGCGCGGATGCTGATTCGTGTCGGGGCAGTCCGGAGCGGGCGCCGCTGGTGTTCAGGCGGAGGTAGGGATCCGGAGGAGTTCGTGTTGGCTCGAGCTACTTGGACTGTTTGTCTTGGGACGCCTTGTACTTCTTGCAAGTAAAGGTTCAGCTTCACAAGTATGGGCCAGCGGACGGGAGTGTCACCAGATGTTCGGCATCCGATAGGCGTCCCCCATCGTGTCTCTGCGGACTACGGTCTGAGCTAGAAGATCTCTCGGATGGATTTCGGCTTTTGTAAGAGACATTGTCCGGTCAATCTGCACTCCGGACTCCTGTATGTTCCCGCCCTCTCTCCTCACCGACGTCTTTGCCCGCCTGCGGCTGCGGCCTAAGTTTCAACCCGCGCGCTTACTGAGGCCCTGCCGCCGCGATGCGTTCAGCGGCGGCCCGCGAGGGCGCATCAGGCGGGGTCCGTCGAGACAAAAGGCGTCACCGTGGTGCTGACGCGAATCGCGGAGTCAAGGTGCCCGCGGAGCCGCGCTTTGCGGGGGAGACGTTCAAGCAGAGCCTAGGGACGGGTCTGAGAGGAGGTACGGGCACCAGCTTGACCATATTGTAGGCCCTCCTTGTTTGGTGCGCGCTATGTGTGCAGGGGCGCTGATTCACACGTTAGATAATTCAGAGATGTTGTGCCACTCGTGCGAGCCAGGTAATAAGCCGCGATGGGGATTCTGCTCTATCCGTGGACGGTCAGAGTGCATCATGATATCTCGTTACTAGCACCACGAATATTATGGTACGGTGCATGTTGGCTGACGATGCGTTGATTCTTTACGGCGGTAATCAGAGGCGGTATGTTCAAGGGTAGGGCACGAACTTCCACGAAGAGAATGTGAAGGACAACGGCAGGCGCGAGACCCTGCCAGGGTCACGGCACACACCATGAATGTAGAGCTGTGCATCCAGCACTAATTATGGGCACTGAGGTCAACAGAAGTGGCAGAGGGTCTCTAGGATTATCCCCGAGATCATTCAACTCGTAGATTGCAAGGCAAAGCAAATAAAATCGGGGATACGATTGTACAGTATAATCAGGTAAAGCAGCATTGGTGTCCCAAGGCATCATCCGTAGTAAAGCTATACGCACAATGACAGTAAGTAAAAGCACGATCACATCAACGTTGAAAAGGCACATCATGAGATCAGGTACTCGCCTGGTGCACCTCAAAATTTTACACTCTCAACATTCCTCGCGAGTGGAGATTTGGCAATGCGCGCCGCGTCCCGACCACGACTTTCCGCCACTTGTAGTCAGGCTGTCGCCACAAGTCCCCGTCGGGTCTGATCCTCAAGAATACCCTCAGCAGGAGCGGAAACGTGTCAGGCGTGATGACCTTGTCGAACTCTTGCAACCGAAGCAGCCGCCTGTCGTTCAGTGTCGTCACGCGAGGCAGATCGTGCACATAGATGTAAATCGAGCGTAAGGCACTGGAGGCCTGGAAAAGCATACCAGCCCCGGGCAAGCTGAGTGCCGGGACGTTCGTAGCCTCTGTCTCGTCCGAGTCGTCGTCCGTTGGCCGTGCACGTAAGTAGATATTGATCCTGATAGAGTCGAGCTTCGGACACGAGGCTAGTTTAAGGCTTTGCCAATGTCCTGGAATATCATATGATCAGTGGCTATGTAGGGCAAGATGTGACATCGACATACTGATCATGGGGTCTTTCCAGACCGGCATGCAATACCACGTGGCGCCCCGTCAACCTTCAGGCTCTTCAAACTATTCCCATTTCGGGCAAGGAGCTTGCGTATGGCCGACACCTCAGAGACAGCGCGACAGTCGATCTCGACGCGTTCCAAATATCCCGGTTCGATGCTCTCCGTGAATGAGTTCAGGATCATGAGCGCATGCTTGCTGTTGGCCGAACCGTATCCCCGTAACAAAGGGTACTTGAGCTGCAAGGGACGGTAGAGGTAGGATTGATCGAGTGGAGTGCCGAGGTCGAGATGACATTCCCTAGATTCTCCATGCAAATGGTCGATGGTAAACAAAGACAGGATGCGGAATAAGCCGGAGACTGAAGAGCTACGAGGGGGGCAGCCGTAGTATCCTGAGCCGAATGAGAGATGACGAAGGTGGAATGGTCCGGGAGTGTCGCGTTGAGGCGACGGCGGCGGGACGGATTGCTGAGGTTGGCCGTATGCGAAGGTGCGAAGTTCAATTGACTCGAGATGGGGAAGAAGCGGCAGGAGCCGCAGCACGATTGTGTCGTCGGTGGTGATTAGAAGGGAGCAGCCCTTCCCAACGTCCCGCGTCGCACCACCCAACGTGAAGTTCCGAATCTTGGCACTGATTCTGGGGTTCGCATGTAGGAATGAGAAAAGGTGGTCGAAATTGTGAAGGTGCCGAGCGACGAGGGATTTGGAGAAGTAACGGTCGATCGATACGGAACGGAGGTATCGGCACGCAAGCGAGCACGACCACACCCCAGTCGTCGGACTCCAGGTAAGATATAATCATGTCCAGGAGTTCTACTGGCAAGTCGCAGATGGTGCGACACTTGCTAGGCCGAGTGAGCATAGGCGGGAGGATATGGTGCTTTCGCCGGTTGTGGTGGTTGGAGGGAGACATGTTAGCGCTTAGGGAGACCGCGTCCGACGGTGAGGTCTACGGCTATCATATTGGAATAGTGACCCGCGCACCTCGCCCGTCCATGTGCCACGAATCTGCCGCGGACCCATGTGGGTTTTTCGTGGCCATAGAACTAAGTATCCAGCTTTTGATGTGGGGGTGTCCTGCCTTTGAACTCGCTAATGAGCTTGGGCAACCAACCGAGCCTCAGTGACGTTTCAACATGTCTCCTCACTTCAGGTATCCACTTTTGCGCCCAGTGGGATCAGAGATCGCATTAGCTCGGAGCTTATACACGTCCACTAGGGAGCGTTTCCGTGCCATTCTTGAGCAACACATGATACGATGTGAGGACAAACCTTCAGCCTTATCCTGCTACCATCTCTTCGTATGTGAATGTGACCGCCGTATACGAACTCGATCACATTTTTCCGTCCGCTTTGACAAGGCTACATGCACCCTGACGTGATCATCACCCATAATATGTCAGCGGGAAGCCCAAGAACTCGCACTGCTCCTGCTGTCCAAACGGCACCATCACGCTCTCCCACTGTAGCTGCTGCACCGGCTTCCCATGCAAATTAGCCTTCGTCACCGGCTCCCACTTCGGCTGCGCCGCCAGCTGCTGCGCCGTGCTCGTGAAGCCGCGGGCAGCAAGGAATCCAGGGTCGGGGTTCGGGTTGAATGTACGCGCGAAGGACGACCAGATGTCTACTATGCGCTGCGTAAATGGCAGGTCCTGATCGTCACGGTACGGCAGGTCCGCAGGGAGCGAAGCGAAGACGTAGTACAGCTCGCCAGAGTGGCACCTGGGGCGTCCGTGCAGGCGGTCGAGAAAAGTGCGAATCGCGAGTTGGAGGAGAGACAATAAGCGAAGATGGATGCATCAGCCCTGCACGTTAGATCGTTGGTAGCATAGGAAGACGCACTTGAAGTACTCGGCAGAAGTGTCTCCGAACGGATGCTCCGGGGTGACGGGCGGTTCGCAAGTGGGCCACTAGATGTATGTGTACTAGGTCAACATCTTCTGACCGACGGTGGTAACTGCTAACACTCACGTTAGGATCATGCCCGGGTGGCTCGTAACTTCTGTTGAACTCGTAGAACCACACACTCTTGAACAATTCGTGAGTGACCACGGAGAACGCCGTCGCCTCGTCCAGACAGCGGAACTCAACATCCGTCGTAGCACCAGCCGTCACATTGTAGACATTCAGCGTTACATTGGGGCCAGACGGCTCTGGGAACAGCGCGTTGTCGGCGATACTGGTGTCAAGAGACGCGGCAATCAATGCCTCTGTCAGGTTTCCGCTGGTCTATCCACATACGTCAGGATGATCCTCGGCGTAGAGAGGGAGAACGTCTCGTACCGGATAACCAATGAATCCTGCCCCGTCATCGCGCATGAAGCCCATCATGGTGTGGACGTTGGCAACCTCGCCAGAGCCGTCGACAGGAAGCTGGCGATGGACGATGTATGTACCATCCACGACGAGGTACCTGGCGCACCGTCAGCACATGGTGAATGGCACATCGAATGAGACCGACCTAGCAACAGTCCCAAGACGGAAAAGCGTGTCGACGTCAAGGGCCCTGAGGCAACCCAGGACATCACTCGCGTCGCTGCAATTGGCCGCCGAGATGATCGGATCCGCGATAAGCGAGACTTCCTCGGGGATGGTATAGTACAAAGAGTACGTCGTGGCATAGTTCGCGCCCGCGAGGTTGCTCATCGGGATAGCTGCAGCGTACTTGCCCATCGCCTTCGGAGAGCCCATGAGCGCACGAACGGACGCAGCTCCCGCGGACTGGCCGAAATCGTGATGCGGTCCTT